GAGAAAAATACCTGAAAATATGATACGGCACGGATGTATAGACTGTAATCACATTCAGAGATTCAGAGTGAAACTGGAAACATTATAATGCAAATGGGGAAGAAGGAGGAGGACAGATTATAAAAGTCACTGTAACCAGCAAAGTAACTACAACCAGCAAAAAAATATTCTGCAAAAGGTCATTGAAAAACACCTATGTAATCATACAAATCCTTGGGAGACTGCTAAAATTTGGTATTGGAAACACACAAAGATAAATGATCATTAAACAAAGTTCAGGACTGTGTCCTCAGCTGCACTAGGTGTGGGTAGCCCTGAACCACCCTTCCTTTCTCTGGTCACGGGGCTGAAACAGGACTATTTCAGCCTTGCGGTCCGAGCAAGCTGAAAACAGCTGTTTGGTTTTTTTTTCAGCAAGCTGAACACACCAGCTGCACCCGCTCTGTAAGGACCACTTCTCTGAGTAACGGCTGGCCAGGAGCGCTGTGTCTTTCAGCCCTGGCTAAACACACCTCCGTAGTGTAGCCAGGAGCGTCGCAGAGAGGATTTGTGGCAAGCAGCAAGACCCTTGCTCTGACCCTGACCTTGCTCCCAGACAGAGCAGCCTGGGGATTGAAAGAAGTGGTATAATAGATTGCACGATAGGTTATTTCTTTGTCGAGGTAATAGCCTTGAGATGAGGAAACATCTGTGAAAGTCTTCCACTGAGACAGTTCCACTACCTAGAAAGAAGGAACTTTATTATCAGGACACCCCAAACCTAACCTCTGCAGAACCCCAAGTATTTATGAAGACTCAGTTCCAGTGACACAGCCTCAGCATAGAATCATAGAATCATTTAGGTTGGAAAAGACCTTGAAGATTATCAAGTCCAGCTGTTAATGTAACACTGCCAAGTCCATCACTAAACCATGCCCCTCGGCACCACATCTACAAGTCTTTTAAACACCTCCAGGGGCAACCACCTCCCTGGGCAGCCTGGTCCAATGCTTGAAAACCCTTTCGGTGAAGAAATTTTTCCTCATATCCAGTGTAAACCTCCCCTGGTGCAACTTGAGGCCATTTCCTCTTGTCCTATCGCTTGTTACTTGGGAGAAGAAACCAACACCCACCTCACTACAACCTCCTTTCAGGTAGTTGTAGGGAGCGATAAGGTCTCCCCTCAGCCTCCTCTTCTCCAGGCTAAACAACCCCAGTTCCTGCATTAGCTCTGATCATGATGTATGACTTTGTAAGTCAGAGACTGTCCTCCCAGAATTACACAGAGCTGGAATGGAGAAAGTGCTCTTCCCTATACAGCCTTTTCTCTATACTAACCTGTCTTCAAAATCCACTAATACATCTCCTAGCCAGTGCGCAGAATCCCGAATGTGTGGGCAGCTGTGTAGAAAAGGCTAACTAACCATGCTTTCTGTGGAAGGGGAAGACGGTAACTGAGGAGCACTCATTTCATGCTCAAATGTTGTGATATAGGCAATTTGGGCAAGAGAAAGTAAAGAGTGAAACACATAGCTCTGGATGAAATCCGTGCTTATATTGCTGGTTAAAAAAATAAAGGGGAACACAGACATAAGGAAGAAATACAGGAGAAAAAAAAATCAACAAATAAAAAAGATTATATCAGATTACAAGTTAGATGATCTCCAAGGAGAGACAGCACTTGGAGCCAGGCTCTTTTGGGGAGCATAAAAGAATTCACCACACCTTGCCTAGAAGGTCATAGTTTCTCTTCATAAGAACACAGAGGCTGAGAACAATGGCTGCTATATGATTGGTATGTATTTTCTCTTATGGGGTTAAGCAAGGATCACTTTGCTCAGTGTATCTTTTAAGTTCATTCTTGCCAACAACTTGTATAACAAACCCAGATTTTTTTATACAAAACCAATTGTATTTTATCTATGAAAAAACCTTGGGAAAATGCCTACATAGCTTGGCGAAATGCTTAATAGGAAAACATAATTATGTGAAAGCATCTGAATGATGTAAGCCAGAAAAAAAAGGAGAGGAACAAATGGACATCTTGTCTGAGATGGCTATATTACATATAAGAAATGTTGAACAAAAGAAAACATAAACTCTAATACCAGAGGAAGTAATTGCAAAAAAAAATTGTAAAAGTCACATTTCTCAAGTTTAAATAACTCCACCACACCAATCATTTTATAAAGCCTTTAGATGGAGAAGTCAAAGCCTGCCGAGGAGTCACATTACTTCACCTTGATCTTTTGCATTTTTCTGTGTCTATCACCCAACCTTAGCACAACCAACAGTCAGCCACAGATGGGAAGGCAAAAGCCTGTGTCATGAATAAGCCATGTATTGCCTGTACCACAAAAGAATCTTCTATCTTTTGTGTTAGGTGTGGCACTCCCATTCTTCCTCTATGTGTGTACTGATCATTCTTTCTTTCATATCTTCATCTTGTCTCTTTCTAGTTTTTCTTCTGTGATCTTCTTTCTTTTAAATAGAAGCTGAATTAAAAGGGTCTATTGCTCAGCCTAAGAACTGTAACTTTTGGTCTCAGAATAAGAATATATAGCAAAATGCAAGGCATTGCCCACTTAGTACAGTCTGAAAACATGCATATTTTAAATTATTTTTTAATATAAAAATAAAACAATCTTTCATGAGCAATGGTATAACTTTCAGGAGTCAAAACTACCTTTATCTCACATATCATGAGAGTCTCCCTGGACTATTCCATACCTTCTCACAGGGCTACCTAGACCTGGATTGTCTCACCATCCTTGCTCTCTTCACAGTGCTGAAATTGTCTCCATTTGTCACCTTTTGACACCTTAACAGACATCATTTCAATTTCAAATTACTTTCACTTAGAAGCAGTGTGGAAGGAATCCCATCATTAGTTAAAAGAAATGTCTTTCCCATTCTTTTTTCTAGATGGTGCCTGAACAATTGTCATAACTGCTCAAATAACTCTGACACACCAAAGAATGCAACCTCAGAACAAAAAGGTCCTCGTTCCTGCTTACTTCTTTCGTCTCTATTGCTATTATACATCATTTTCCTACCTTCCAACAGTGTTCCCATTCAGCAGAAAAAAGTGTCCATAATTATATCCTTCTTTAGAAGTTCTGTGCTTCCTTAACACAGACAATTTATAAGAAAACTAAGTTTGCTGTCAAAAAGATCTCTCTTCAGTTTTCATACACGGCCTATTTCTTTTGATCTTGCAGCAGCTCTGCAATTTTTTTTTTTCTCTGTCATATAAGTTGCAAGAAATCACTCCCATTGCAATTGCTGTTGTTAGCACGTTGAAGGGAGCAGTGCATGCACCACAGCGTTAACCACAGTGAGTACTGTGGTTGATAATGGCAGTGCTTGCAAAGATGAATCACCAGCAGGGAAAGCAATTCAAGAAAGAGAAACACACACACACAAAAAAAACCCCAAAACAAAACCAAAAGAAACTCACACCACCAGAAAGAACATCCAGGGAAGAGATGGGAGTGTAACTGGGAATGTATGTTTTGTAACATACGCTAATTTGAATAAGTTGCTGACTATATGGACTTGCCCTCATGAATGATGATCTGAAAATACTTTATTGAATAATGGGATACTCAGGTTTCTCACTGAAAATTTATGGTTTTGTCCATTTTTCTCACTGCTTCAAATGATGGTTGTATATCTTCCTGTAAAACAGCTTTTCAAAGATCAGAAGTTCTTATGAATCTTTGTGGAGTTCTGTCTTTCAGGTTTTCTTAACCCTTGCCCCACTTAGACTAAATGATTGCCTGGGGAAGGATTATCTTTTTTTGTGCTTTCCTACCATCTACTATTCCAGGCCCCCAAACTCTGTGGGGACCTTCATGTGAATGTTTTCTTACAAATCATGTCTATCACCCCTCACTGACAGCAAGGGCAAGAAATACACTACCATACAGGAATATGGTACGAGAAATACAATAACATACAGGATAGAACAAAAGAGAACAGCGCCCCAAGACATCAATGATTGCCTTGAACTGCTTCCCAGCCTATGTGAAGGTAAAGAGAGTGAGTCTTAGTCTTTTCTTGTAGCTAGGGAGAGGCTGAAATACTCCCACTACGCCATCAAGTACTGCATAGGGAGACAAAGGGAGACGTTGCCAATGGACTGCCTGGCTCGCTACATTTTAAGAGCTTTATAAATTGTTAAAAAGGTCTTCCCTTCAGAATGACTCCAGGTGAACAGTACCCAGTGCTGGCAGAAGCATGCGACGCTCCTGTTTTGGTATTCTAGTTGGATACAAGATGGGCCTGGAAAAGAGAAGATAAGCACAACGGCTTTTGAGAAAGAAGTCACCTTCTTTCCAAATTCTTAAGGGTCAAGGCTCAAACAACTCGAGGTCCAGTCTACAACCATTCTTTTAATCAGTCAGTCAGATGGAAAATATTACTGTTCTTCACAAGCAAAGGGCTCAGTTACTACAATGGTCCTTTTGCTACTTCCTTCATTTTCACATCTTCTATGAAGAGTAAGTTGTGAACTATATTAACTACAGACAAGGTTTTTTTCTTCAGCCCCAGTATACCAATCCAACCACTACCTGTCAGCCACCTTTTGTCTCAAGACCAGAAAGCAACTCCAGTCCTTGCCTTCATTTGGGAAATGGTAGATAGGAAGAGATTGAAATCAAAATAAACACTATAACCTGATTTTTAAAGCTGTTAAGTTTTCTCAAGAACACTCAGTGTACGAATACCCAGAGTACCTTAAATTTCAAAAGCATGTTAGGGTGTTCTGAGAGGGGAAAATATGTTCACATTTTAGAACACTGTGCATGTCTGAAAGTTAAACAAATCAGAACTACCTACAAACGAACAATACTGTTTTCCCCTTGGTGGACTCTACCACCGTTTCTCTAAATGTTAAGAGTCAAAGTGTGTTCACTATCAGCTGGGCACCTATCCCATCACTGTACATTCACATTAAAAAAAGACTTCTTTCCAGTGTGCATTACTCATAAATGTGCTCAGTCAGACTGATTCTCTGCCCCTTTATGTTCTATGGTGAATTAGGAAAGGGTCTGTTAAAGGATGATACAGGCCACTCTTTTGTGATGGTCTGCAGTTTTCTTTCCCAATACATTTTCTTTTTATTTAGCACTTCCATTTTTATCCTGTGCTCCTCTTCGGCCATCTCACACTCTCTTTCTATTTGCTGTATTTTTGCCACATGAACTTCATTCATTTGGATTAACTGCAGTTGCAAAATTGACATTTGCTGATGATGTTCTTCCTCATGCATCTTTTTCAGAGCACTTTCCTGAGATGCTTTACTTCTGTAGTTCTTTTCTGCTGCTATTCTGACATCAGAACACGAAGGCTCAGATTGGGAGGTACCTTCACATACCGGGAAATGTACCAGCTCTTTCTCTTCATCACAGAGTTCTCTATTTGAGACAACAAATGACTCTGCAAAACATAAGAGGAAAAAGTATTTTAGTATTCCCTCCTTCTCCCTCAAGAAACACGAAGTGGTGATAATGCAGTTATTGGTGTATACATCTAAACCTTGTGCTCGTAGTACAGGAGCCACTACATAAATTCTGTTACAGAATACTAAGGGCATAATGGTCTGAACTGAACCGCTTTGGGCTCTGTTGATAGACCTCCATGGCTATAATGGGAGCTCATATTACTAAAGTGAATGTAGGCATTTATAAGTGGACGCTTAAATTCAGGTAGCTGAGCTTGGAGCTGAATCTTAATGCAGCTGTTTAAGCCAAATCCTTATGTGACTTGCAATATTTTTATGAAAGATTTGAGTATCAGGTGAAGAGCTGCATCAACATTAATACCAAGAGACTGGGGAAAAACTAGAAAGAATACTACTTATTCCTTCCTTATCACTACTGTACATGCTGTAAGTGTCGTGGTGTATAATTTTTGGAAAAAATGACATTATTCTAACTTTGAGAAGATTCTGCCAATTCCACTGAAATAAGAGAAACTACTCATGGAATAAAATAGTAACCACTGCAAACAGTGGTCTCAAAATACATTCCTTTACAAATCCTGATTACTACTTATGGTAAATACAATTATGAAAGAGACGTTGTAAGAGCATTATCTAACAATGTAGTTACTGTTGTCTTTTGAGCAAGGACAGTCTTCTATGTGCGATCTTGACATAATAAAGTTTTCAAGAAACCACTGTAGCCACCCTCCCTGCTGGTTTTGGATTATTCCTTCTATGTATGCTTGCCAAACAAAGAAGAATGTAGAGATGAACTTTTTGGAAAAGGCCATTCTCCAATGTGGACTGCAGCATGAAATACAGCTCTACGTACTCTTTGTAGTCCTTGAAAACAAAGGAGGAAAGACCTACAGAGAACTCTTGCAGCAGACAATTGTGTATCAGTTTGCTGCTGCTGGTATTTTTTTTTTTTTTTTTTAATGCTTGGATAACCTTTTTCCAGCAAAATAATACATTATAAAGGATCAAAATATCCTTGAGACTGTTCTCTAGAAAGCCATCATGATAGCTACTGTGATGCTTGCCACAAAGTAGCAGATATGTCAAAAACTGATGAAAAAAAATTGAGTAAAACCTCATTTTAACTACTGGGGGCCTAGGGAAATACATGGAGTCTTGTAGTATCATAGTTCTGAAATTACTTTTCTATAACCAGCAGTCACAGCTAAGTGGAGAGATTTAGACTGCTGAAAGAGAATCACTGGCAAAATCACATACAAAACAATACTACTTGCATCATTACAGTAACGTTTATACCTTGACTAGAAGCATCAGGCTGATATTCAGAATCTTCTTCTGGTGGGCTCTGCAAAAAGTACATTTGCTCAGGCATTATGCTGGCTTCCCTATGATGTGAGTATTTATAAGTGGACTAATGCTTCTTTTTACCTTCTCCCGCCTTTCATGTGCCATTATCTTTTTTGTCCGTGCCTTGATATTTTCCCAGCATTTCTTTAACTGTTTGAAGTCTCGCAGTGATACGCTGGGCTGTGAATTATATTCATGAGCTAGTGCTTGCCAGGTACGTTGTTTCAGAGCAATAGTTCTTGCATCACTTTTTTTACATTCAAGCACGTATTTGTATTTTTCAACTAATGCAAGCAGCACACTCTTCTCCACTTCTGAGAAGTATTTAGCAGGCTTTATTATTTCGTTTTGCATTTTCTACTGTTTCTCCAAGAAGCCAAAAATCCTATGAAAACAATGTTGAAAGCAAAAAACAAGCACAAATTAGAACTGGTTACAGTATCAAGAAATTGTGTTTCAGCAAGTAACTCCTAAGCATAACTTCTGACTCAAACACACTTAATTTTCTAGAAGAGCTTGTGAATAGTTCTAGCGGACATAATGAAACATTCAGATAAGATATAGTATATTTAGATGCTGTTGCCACTTTAGTGGCTACACAGTTACAGAAGTATACCATAATGAGGAGCAGCTGCTTGTCTTTGTTACAATTTGTCTTGACACAAAATACCCAGTATTAAAATTACTGAGTAACTTGTTTTTAATAACTTGTTTTCCTATTCACTGCACTTCGTTACAGCCATAGAGTTCAGAAATCCAGCTCTTGAGAGCTTCAGTTTTAAGTCTAATGCCGCCTTCAGCGAGTTTGGGTTTCCTTTGGTACGCAAAACGCCCTCTTCTGCCCTTGCTGACTGCATATAACAAATTTCTCCCCTCTCCCTACAATATCTGAAAGTTTTATGAGAAATGATAGCAAGAAGTTCTTTTTTAAAGACTTCGGTCAGTTTGGTTCCCCCCCACGCTCAGCCCCCCTGGACTGACATCCAACAGGCAGCAGGATCCTGACTAGTGTTACGATACTGAGAAGAGGCAAGGGTTGCAAGAAGACATGAACTAATGACAGAAACTAACTGCTCTGAAGGTACAGGTCCCTCACCCTTTACTGCTGACTCGGCATGTCTGGCACTGCTGGTCACTCTCAGGAGCAAATGCCCAAGCTAAAAAATTTTTGCCTCACTCAAGACGGCCACTGCTATATACTTAGGCCATGTTAACAACTGTCTCTCTTCTCAGGCCTAGGACTTATGTACACAATAGGAAAAGGGTAGCTGATACCAGGGAATTCTTAGCCATAAAAAAAATGAATAAAGCAGTGTTTCCTTGAATTACTAACACATGACTGTGCTGCACAATGTAGTTTTTTCTTTTCTCTTTCCACATTTCTCTCCCCATTCCCTCCCACTACAATTGCATAGCCCCAATTACTTTTACATTTTGGGCAGAAACTTCTGGATAGTTAAGTAGAAAAAGGGGGAGCAATGCCGTCTTAGTTTACATTTCTTCTGGTTTAATAAAACTCAGGGATGGAATATATTTTATAACAGGTTCATATTCCTAACAGTCTAGGACTCTCTAGGACCCAAAAAGGATTTTCTAGTATTTTGCCCATTGTTTCCACTACTTCCCTCATAATATTATTTGAAGATGCCATAGATGTCACCACCAGAACTCCTCTTTTCAGTATTTTTTCCTTAACTCCGCTGCACTAGCACTGTCTTCATACCATTCTTGTAATTCCTTTCCTCCAAATATCTTAATATTTACACTTATTCTCACCTCTTTCAGTGAAGGTAACTGCTTAGATTTACAAAGAAAGCTAACAGGCAAGCTAATATCAAAATAAGAAATCAGCTCTGACATAAGAACAGAAGCTTTCTCAAGTACCTCATAAAATATGACAAAACCCAGCAAAACAAAGAAGGGGAGTCAAAGAATAGAAGAGGCAGTAGAACAAAGCCTAGATTACCAAAACTGAAACAAAGTGAATGGAAATAAGTGATAGTCTAAGTATGTTAAGTCAGTAGCAGTAGCTAAGTTGTATCCTTACTGAAAAACAGGCAACAAACACGCAGTTTGTACTTTCTGGCACTGCTCAACTGGATGATCACCAGGCATGTACTGACTGGACAGCCAGCACCTACGTGGTTCCCAGCTAGTCACAGTTCTGCTGTTTCTTACCAATTGCTGGTGCCATGGGAGCATGGGAGAGCTGGAGTTTTTACAGCAGGCAGGATTTAGGGGACAAAGGGAAGGATTCGTAGGAAATCAGACTTTATTAGTCCTACTGCTTGCAAGAACAGCTTGTTTATTTTGCAAGAAAGAAAAACGTGGAAGAAGAAGAGAGCTGGGTGGCTGTAAGGAAGACAGTTCCCTGATCCACCATTTCCTCCATCACACTATATCAAGTTATTTATTACCTTCTGTGAAAACATTAGTTGCCCCACATATTGATGACAGAAATTATTAAACACCCATAATCCCACAGAACAAACTAAGTGCATGTAAACAAACTTGAAAGTATCACATACCGATCATTATAATGTCTAGGTCTAATAGACATAAGAGAACATCTGCCTTAGAAGTTCCTTAAATAAAAAATAAATTAAAAAATAAGAAAAAAGTCAGGAAATTGACATCCTAACAAAGAGATACTGAAAACTGGCAACTTTGTTCCATGAAACACCTCTCAAAACATGTAAAATAAGAGAGACCTAATATAGAAACAAACTCCATCTACTAATCTATTACATACTTATATACTTATTGGACCATTCCAAACCATTGATCTGCTTTGGACAGCTGCTGAAATGAAATTCTTGGGACTAAATATTGATGCTTCAATCTGTCTTAACCTCAGTTTCACCAAGGAACAGGATTGAAAAGCAGTCCCACCAGCAAGTCATAAGGCCCAATAGCTTACAACACTGAAAAAAAACAGGATCAGAGACTCCATGTGACCAGAAATGGCTGATTCTGCCTTCCACTGATGCATGTAAATCTTATTTCTAGCTTTATCTCTAGGTGTGAGAATCTCAGACCAAAAATCATGACATGTTTGTGTGTAGAAAAACCCTTTAAATAGAAAAACGATGGATTTTCAAGTACCTTTGAACTTAAGTTCAAAAAGTTGGGACTTCTGGATTCTGGGTGCTAAATGAATTTTAATAAATATTTAGCCACACAAACTGGCAGAGATCAACTGATACCAGTAAATATTTAAAACATTTCCAAATATGACTTCATATATATTCTCAACCTATACTGCGATAAAAGTCCATCTTCCATGGATGAAGCCACAGCAAACCCCTACATATACACAATGTACTTGCGTCCTTTCCATGAAAGACAGGATTATGATCTGGGATGCATAAAAGAACTCAAGAACTGGTGAAAGCAGTTTAATGTACTTACTACACAGAAGAAAAGAGTTCTTGAAGATTCTTTTCAAGCTCTTACACACTTAGCCTGCTTGCTTCTATATATTAAAGCTCAATTTCAATTACGTAGAACAGAAAGCACTCTGAGATATCAGAAAACAAGAGTACTGAGGAGTCGCAGCAAAACACCACCATATATTTCGATTCACCTCTTTTTCTTTAAGCATCAATCACCTTCTGGCAGCCCTCTGGTTCCTCTGCGGAATACGAGAAAGGACCCTCACAAGCCCAAACAATTTCCATTTCAAGGCTAAAAGATCCTTTCAGGACATATGCCCAGGATATGATTTAGCATGTAGGAATCTGTGCTGAAATGGAAGGAGTTTATCGTGTATAGCTCATAAAGCAAACAAGATTGATTTGGGAATGTGTAGGTACATGAGGACAGTTGCACAGTAAATTCTAAGAAACAAAGAATGGAAGGCTTCTCCCATGCTTACAGGTGCCCAGGCTCTAAGACATAAGAGTCGTAAGGAAGTACTTTATCCTAAATATTGTCTCCTGGCATGGCTCAATTAATAACTTGCTTTAAAACAAATTAGTGTCCTAAGTACTTGTCCTCTCATACAAAGCTTTATCACTTTAAAATAATCAAAATACCTTTCAACTCCTGATTTTTACTTTGAAATGTTGTGTTCTTCTTTTAAAGACTATAAGCGATGCACTGTGATCTGCTGGAAGAATATCTTGAAAAACAATTACACAAGTGAAGAAGTGCACATATGTTCATAAATATGTATATACGTATTATTTTGCTTGCACACACCTAAACACACACCCAAACTCCAACCAGTTGTAAAGAAGTCCCTTTAAAAAAAAAAAAATCACTTCAGGTTGGCATGTATGAGCATTTTCAGTCCCTGAAATATTTTTTTAGGCATGAGAAAATGCAAAGAGAAAGTTATGGTGGAAGATTTAACCCAAATATTACGGTTACACTAACCCAACCCAAAGAACATTGTTTGCTAGCAAACTATTGTCACTTGTGGTGTGAAAAATTGAATTAATTTACCAATGCCAACAGGATTACTACCAGAAATAGTTAATTACTGAAAAAAAGAAAATTTGTTTATTCAACTTAAATCACAGATGAAGCTTTAAGCATAGTCAGTAATTAACAGCATTGGAAATCAATCATAATTCTGTCCTTTTCATCCAGTGTTTGAGGGTGAAAGGAAGGCATGGGAATGGAATCACCAAAGCAGTCACAACAACAGGTTTATCTTTCATTTGGATGACAGAATCAGCAGTAAACAGTGTCCTCCTTCCTCAGATGTTAGGTGTTCCTCACAGAGCTTCCATCAGTGTTCCAGGCCTGACCCTGTCTACCTTGAGACTTGAAATCACTAGGTATTTAGTGATATGAAATGAATATGAATGAAATCTACATGAAAATTGTGTTACATATAGTCAGGTTTAAAAAAAAAAAAAAAAACACAAACCAAAAACCTTTGGGTGCTCCCCCCCTCCATCTTTTAAAACACAAATTAATAGTTAGAACGGATCATCCAGCAAATGAGCAAAATAGTCTCTTAGTAAAAATTCACAGTACTTTGCCTAAATTTCTCCTGGCAAATTTTATATGCAAATACACACCGATGTATTTTTTAAATAGATATATAATATTACGTTCTATAAAACACACACATAGATACATTTTGAGCGGGTCACCCCGCTACCTATGGAGGACATCCAAAGCAGTTTGTGCAAAGAAAGGTAATGGACGCAGGTTGCTATTTCGAACGATTGTCTGAAATTCATCAAAAACAGGCAAAAACAGGCATCCTACCGGACTCTCCTCCACCCGAACTTCTCAAACATTAACTCGAGCTTGTTTTTATTTCCTCGCTAAGCTCCTCTGCAGCTTGAACAAGAAAGGAGAGCGGGTCCCGGCTCGACAAAGACGACCGCTCCACCCAGGGCGGGCATGCAGGCTGCGGCTGCGGCGCGGATCCAGGGACATCTGCCGCGGCAGGAGGAACGGCAAACGGTCAGGCTGTCACCCGGCGCCCGCGGAGACCGCGCTCTGCGGCGTCGGCGGGGACAACCCCACCCTGCAGCCCCTGCTTTCTCCCTTCTCGTAACAA